TAGCTCCACAGTCCGTGAGTCCCCGAGAAAGTTACAGAGAAAACAAACGCAAGCAAAAGCTGCCRCAGCAGCAGCAGCAGAGTTTCCAGCAGCTGGTTTCGGCGAGGAAGGAGCAGAAGCGCGAGGAGCGCAGACAGCTGAAGCAGCAGCTGGAGGACATGCAGAAACAGCTGCGCCAGCTGCAGGAGAAGTTCTACCAAATCTACGACAGCACCGACTCCGAAAATGATGAAGATGGCAACCTGTCTGAAGACAGCATGCGCTCCGAAACCATGGATGCAAGGGCAGGCGACTCCGTTGGCCGCTCGGACAACGAGATGTGCGAGCTGGACCCGGGGCAGTTCATCGACCGGGCCCGTGCCCTCATCAGGGAGCAAGAGATCGCAGAGAACAAGCCCAAAAGAGAAGGTCCCAAGGAAAAGGAGCAAGGGCCAAATTCTTTCCATCCCGAAGGCAAACATTTGGCCGAGACACTGAAACAGGAACTGAACACGGCCATGTCCCAGGTTGTGGACACAGTGGTTAAAGTTTTCTCATCCAAGCCCTCCCGCCAGCTTCCTCAGGTCTTCCCACCTCTGCAGATCCCTCAAGCCAGATTTGCCGTGAACGGCGAGAACCACAACTTCCACACGGCCAACCAGCGCCTGCAGTGCTTTGGGGACGTCATCATCCCCAACCCCCTGGACACCTTTGGTGGCGTGCAGATGCCCAGCGCCACCGACCAAACCGAGGCGCTGCCCCTTGTCGTCCGCAAAAACTCATCCGACCAATCGGCCTCGGCGCCGCCGCCCGGGGGCCACCACGCCTCCCTCCACCAGTCCCCGCTGTCGGCCACGGCGGGCTTCTCCACCTCCTCCTTCCGCCATCCCTTCCCGCTGCCCCTCATGGCCTACCCTTTCCAGAGCCCGCTGGGCGCCCCATCAGCCTCCTTCCCAGGAAAGGAGCGTGCCTCCCCTGAATCCCTCGACCTGACTCGCGAGACCACGAGTCTGAGGACCAAGATGTCATCGCACCACATGAACCACCACCCTTGCTCGCCAGCACACCCGCCCAGCGCCGCCGAAGGGCTCTCCTTGTCTCTCATAAAGTCCGAGTGCGGCGACCTCCAAGACATGTCTGAAATCTCACCTTACTCGGGAAGTGCAATATCCTTTTCTAAAGAGAAAACATAACTGGTCTCTGTACTGGGGCTGGATCGCGGGGGCTTCTCATGTTCTCTTCATGTCTCGCGTTGTAGCCAGAGAGGAGAGGACCTCGTGCCATTGCCATGTGCCAAGGCGAGTTGGGCATTCATGGGGGAAGCATGCAGGGCCTTGGTGAAGCTAGTRGCTGCATCCAGGATCAGGTATGAGTTAGAGGTGCTGCCATGTGCCTTGCTTCAYCTGTTTGACCTCTTGGTAAAGAGAGGCTTTTCGGTGACCACCCTAAACCAGTGAACCCCCAGGCCAATAAAAGGGACACCCCCTGCCCCAACCCTTCAGGCCATCCAGTTGGGTAGGAGAAGGAGCCCAACCCATGTCCTGGTGCGCAGGAGCCACGGTGCCCTCCCCGCTGAGCCTCCTGTCAGCCCATTGCCACTGCGGCTTTCCCAGAACAAGAGCTTGGTTGTTTGGAAGCCGTCGGTCCTCAAGTGAGTCAGCAGAGTAAAGCACAAAAGACGCAGGTACTGATATGTTCAAGCTGCACCAAGTTCTCCTTCCCTCCCACCCCCCCCAAACCCAGAGATCTGCTCCTCAGTCCTCGTGCAGCTGCCTGCTATGCATGATTAACCTCTGCTCAGCCATACACAGAAATCTTTTGTCCTAACGTACACAAAGCAAATTATTTTGGAAAGCTAGAGAGAACAATTAAATATAAAAGTTCAGCTGTATTAAATTTACAGAACACATACCCTCTCTTAAAAAAAAAAAAGAAGATAAAATCCTTCTTTTTAGTTCAATATCAGGCTTCTGTTAAGGGAAAAATTATATCCGTGCTCTTATTTAGGCATATCCAGATATATTCTGGTTTTTATAATTTATTTACTTATTTATTTATTTTTCCCCTGGAAATTAGTACTTTTTTTTTTTTCCCTTTTTAGCAATAACACCTCCCACTCTTTGTAACGTCTTCCCTAATGTGCTTTTTTGGTCAAAAGATTTTTCTTCCAAATGCAGTTGTATTAAATGTGAATAGAATGTCCAATGCTAAAATTGACTGATCTGAATGAGGGGTAGGTTGTCATCTTCTGTCTGGTCCAAGACCCCTTCACAAAGCAGCAGCAGAAGCTTAGCATCGCAGATGCTAATTTAATTTCCAAGTTTTTGAAAGTAATTGTAATTAAGTAATTTTACCTGAGTGAGGAAATTGTCTGCTTTACAGGGGTATCTCCTGGAGGCAGATGAGCAAGGCTGTGCTGCTACCCTGTCACGGGGTATCTGCTTGGCAATTAATAACTTTGGTTGCTTTGATTAATTAAAGCAGGTTTTATGTAGCAGTGCTGTGTGGGTCAGGTGCCGTGGCAGAGGGATAGCAGAGCCCCCCGGGATGCCCGGAGCCAAGGCAGGCACCAAACTGGGTACTCTGCCATGGTATTACTGAGATAGCCATGGTCATGTTTGGACTGAAAACAGCTTCAGTCCAATGGTTTTTGGCCGGCAGGTGAGAATGCTGCTGTGCCACAGCCTGCGTAGGTTGCGTAGGGAGGAAGGATTCCTACTTGGAGGCAACATTGCCTCCTTGGAGCCAAAGAGCRGGCAAGGTGATGTTTGAAGGACACCACCTTCCTCTGCAGAGCTCAGACGTGTCCCCAGCGGCGGGAGGGGACTTGTGGCTTGCCAGGGCCTCGCAGGGCGTATGGCAAGAAAGGGGCGGCTGGCCAAAGCCAGCGTCGCGCGCCGCTTTTGCTGGCTATTTCTTGAGCTTTGGAACAAAAAGTCTTCCTTGCCTTTTGAAATGGAAGTGGTGGTGCTCTTGAGGTTCACAGGATGGACAGAGCAGGGCAAGACTCAGGCCAGAGTAATTATATCGTTTCTAAAGTAAAACATATGGGGTATATTAATTGTTTTGRTATCAAAGTGATTTCTCTTTCCTGGAAGAGGAGTGATAGGAGCTGAAAAATGAGTAGAAACTAGGCATATCTGTAGCTGCAGGTGATCCTCGGTACCTTTCAAACATCTCTCCCTCTCTCTTGCTGCACCTCACCGTGATCATGGAGGGAGCTTGTGAGGGCTGCAACAYGGGCCTGCGAGTGTCCCACCAGCTGAGGCCGCTCCGAGGGTATCCAGAGGGAAATCGGAGCATTGGTGTGACACACCATGCGCTTTCCTCCTTCCCTGTGCCACATTTCTTCCCCGGTGGCCGTGGGCACTTGGACGCTAGCACTTGCAGGCTGCAGCTGGAGCCGGGGTGAGGAACGAAGCTGCCGAGGAGCAGGTTTCCTAGCTGGCGTGGGTGCAGGGCGCTGGGACGGCCCTTCCTGGCAGCTGCTCCTTGCCCAGGTCGCCGCAGTTTCCAGGGAGAGGTGCAGCACGGAGGCTGGTTTGTTTGTGGAAGAGTCTGTTGCGGCCCTTTTATGTGAACGTGGGTGCATGTGCACATACAAGAAATATATTTCTTGAGAGGCAGCTCTCCCTTCACTGCGGAAAGCAACATCTGTTTTCCTGGGCAATATAGCCAGGATGAGAGCATAGAACTATCAGATGCAGCCAAGCTCAGGTTTTAGTAGTAAAATACTGAACCAGCCTGTCTTCTTTTCTTTTTTCCTCTTTTCTTTTTGTTTTATTTTATATCAACACATTTAAAATGCATCTGATCAATTTGATGAGTTGCAGAAGGAAATGGTTAATGTTTGTGTATGCTGCTGAACAAGATAAAAGGCACCTGCAGCATGAGTTCGCATCTTGGTCATGAATGCAGTCTATATCTTTGCAAACTAATCTGTTTAATCAAATATTAAGTTTTATTCAAATTCCCAAAGAAACAGAYAGCCAATTGTTTTTCTGCACGGTCTTCCTTTGTCGTGCCTCCTCTTTGCATCTCAAGAAAAATAGCCTCGTTCAGCTCCAAAACATTTGCATAGATCAAAATTGAAGCACAACAGTAGTTTGTGTGCTGCTAAGACATCTGTAAAGGTGAAGAAGTTTTGTGTTTTCTTGCTGGCAGGAGGGCTTTAGGACATGAGTGAAACTTTCTACAATTTATTTATTTTTAAGCAGAGTTTCAGTCCAATTGGAATGAGTTTCATAGTCCCAATATGTGAAAGCTATAATTAGTGAATTACAACATTTTGAAATGAGGAGTTATTACATCTGACTAGAATTAAACTAATTAAAGTTTAAAAAAAAAAAAAAAAAGAAGAGAGCAATTTTACAGCAAGCTGGATAACTCTGTCCTGTTGATAAAACCTGTGGGATGCAGGAATACTTTCCAGCCAGCCCATTTCAGGGTTTTAGAGATGCTCTGAAATACAGCAGTTTGAAGCTTTGCCGATTAAAAGCACCTAGTGTGTAACTTCAGGAGAAGCTTGGCTTTGCAAGTGCAGATTTTTTGCCTGATATAGCCTTTTCTTACATCTTTTCCTTCTGCTCAATGAACATGTAGGCTAGAAAAGCCTGTTAGAGAATATGTGGAGGCTCAAGGTGAGAGTAACAGAAGTGAAAGATCATCTCCACCAAAAAATATTTTTGGAAAAGAGGAGAATTACCTGATAGGATTCAAGTGCAAATGAGCCAAATGGCGTGGAGTGGTAGCTCCCCAGTTAAAGCACAYGAGAGTGAACACAGGTTTCATTCCCAGCCTTTCGCTTCCCGTTTCTTACATTTTGCCCTTTTGCTGCTGCTGTCTTAGGTGAGGCTGCGCTGCCCTGTGTAAACGCACAACACTGAGACGCTCAGGTTGTTTGAACACTGCTTTAGGTTCAGCTGCACTACACTGTTTCTCTGATCTTTTATGCTCCTGAGCAGATGTCTTTCATTAATTTATGGATTTATCATCTTTTCTTTCTCTCCTTTTTTTTTTTT